AAAAAAAAAAAAAAAAAAAAAAAGAAAAAACTAAGTAGGGCTTTTACCAGTATATATACACGGTAACTTCCGGTGAGAGCATTTCGATTTGGGCCTGCGCTGGTGGGCACTTTGCAAAAGGCACAGTTGCAGGGCCGCGAGCCTTTGACAGGTAGCGCTGTTTAATAGCGTTTATCTGACTTTATCAGCTTATTCTCGTGTCCACCGGTGGTTTTTTTTTTTTTTTTTTTTTTTTTTAATGCAGTTCTCGACGTCTGCTAGCCCGCAATATATGGTCCTTCGACTCATTTCACATTGCAACTCTTTGTGATCTGGCATGCAGGATGTACAGAGAATGATGGCTGCACAACAACAGATAACGCAAGGACTGCAGCAGGATCCGGTGGCGCGCTTGATTAAGAAGAGAGGAGGTCCTTGAACAGCATATATATTGCTAAGAATTTCAGTCTGAAATTGTGTCAGAATCTGACCAGGTCTGTTTTTGAACACCCTGTCTGACCGGGTGCGTTATCGAACACCCTGTCTGACAAAACACTCATTTAACTGTTGATATTTGCGCTTTTTTGGTTCGGGTTTGTCGACTTACATGGTTTTCGGTGTTAAGTCGAAGGAGGTGGTCGTCGGTAGGGGGGGATTCGAAATTAGACGGGGGGTAGGCCCAGGTACTTTAATTAATCGACTGCAACCCACCAGCGGTTTTGTTTGTGTGAAGACTCTCTCTCCTTTGGTATTAATGTTTTTCAAATGCACGAATCCTCCCCATACAGCCAGCCAGTCAAGAGGTCCACCATAGCCATACATCCTTCTCCTACTTGGTCGAACAGGTGGCTATGGCGGATTATCGGAGTGAAGCTCCGATGTTCAAAGGGCAACGCAAAGCTACTAAGTCCCTCCTACTATGGATGCCATGCCTAGCACTACCACCGAGGTCTTCCTTGTAGGGCCTTCCAGGTGAAGCGCCAACCAAGAAGATAAAGATGCAGACCACCGTAGCCAGATAAGCTCCCCCGTCACTCTCTTCCTTGCGCACCGTCTTCCTCCTCCTCCTACTCCTACTCCTACTCCACCGGAGTCGCCTCCTTGATCCTCTCCACCATAGCTGAGGTAGAGGCCAAGTCCACCTTCTTCCTCCTCTAACGCTGTTTGGCAGAGCGCTCTCTCCCGCAGTCGCTGCCAAACTTGCACCGCTGCAAATGAGGCCTGTCTCTTATACACATCTAGATGTGTATAAGAGACAGCTCCTACTCCACCGGAGTCGCCTCCTTGATCCTCTCCACCATAGCTGAGGTAGAGGCCAAGTCCACCTTCTTCCTCCTCTAACGCTGTTTGGCAGAGCGCTCTCTCCCGCAGTCGCTGCCAAACTTGCACCGCTGCAAATGAGGCTGAGCCTCTCGTCTCCACGGAAGATATACTGGAGTGTTGCCTCTTTGCGCGTTTGGTTCGAGCCCTCGCGGCCTCCCAAGACTACCGGTACCTTCAGGACTCGCCAATGGAGGGAACATCATTGCAGACTGATATTCCCCTTCAGAGTTTAGGGGTACCGGTACCTCCGGGATTCAGACCACTGGACCAGTACCCCCAGACTCTGAAGGGGAATACCAGGGTCCGGTAGGCTTAGAGTCTAGTGGTACCGGTACCTCCTGAGACTACCGTTACCTCCGGGATTCAGACCGCTGCACCGGCGGTACCCCTAGACTCTAAGCGTACCGGACTTCTGAGAAACAAAATTCACTTCGGCCTCTAAAGGTACACTACCTGTTGTCTTTTCTGCCTATCTATACTGCTACTCGAGTGCTTTTTTTTTCCCCAACCTACATGGGCCTAGCCTGCTTCTAGTTCCCCGCTGCACCCACACAACAACACGGTCGCAGGTAAGTACCACGCGCATGGACCTTCTCGGTACACAAAGTACCCTGGACGGTCACCCCCCCCCCCCCCCCCCAAGCAGTCATGCAGTCAGGCAAACACAGAGAAACTCAGCAATCATGCACACACACGTACTTAGAAATCTCAGCAGAAGCGGAATAGGGGGATCAAGGCAAGTCACTCAGTCCAGCGACGGCCAAACTTAGAAAACAGCAGGTCTTTCAGTCTGTGATTTTGCAGGCCATTACAAAGAAGATGACGATAAAAGTGTGGTACACTGGTACCTAAATCTTGTCATTAGCTACGTTACCGGAGTGGTCTGGGACAACGTGCTCGGCCGGGCCAAAAATGAATTAAAAAATAATAAAAACAAGTATTGAGAAAAAAATCAAAAATTAAGTAAAAAATAAATAAAAATTGAATTTTCTTAATTGTGAGGATTGAGCCCTCAAGTAGGGGCCTTGCCATGATGTACATGTTCTGGGCTAAGGCCCCAGCGAGCCTAGTGCCCGCCCTAAGTGAAGGCGGGCCAGCAAATCGACAAGAGCCCTCTGTGCAACATTTCACGAAGTGGGGTTCATACAGTTGCAGCACGCCAGTTGGTTGGAGTGCACCGAGTCTCGGATTTCAGCAAATGCTGAAAGCCCAGGGCCTCTGAGTTGGTTAGGCCCTGGGCATCTGAACGTGAGGCCGACAATGCATGCTGGAAAGAGAGGCCGAAAATGCCAAGGGAAATCGGCCCACTGTCTGAATCTGGCCGCAGGCCTTGATGAAGGAGGCGCAACTGCCTTACCCCGGGGCCCAACTGTATCGAGTTGGCTTCAGCCTCTGGGCCCCGGACACAGGCTGAAGGGAGGCCGCCCACATACTGCACTGGGATATAGGCAAGCAGGGCGAGGCAGCGGGGATCTTGGCCAATGCTGGCATATGCGGGCACGCTGCGCGGATGCAGGTGGGCTGCGCTAATGCAGAGCAGCGCTGCGCTAAGAAGAAGCAGGGCAGCGCTAGGCGGTAGGGCGCTGCCTGCTTGCAGAGCACTGGCGGCCATAGCCGGGCCGCAAGAAGGTGCAGGGGAGGTGAGGGCGAAGGTGGTACTTCGGAGRTGAAGGGCGCTGTGTGGGTAACAAGRGAGAGTGTGGGGAAGATGACAYGTACCTGGTGATGGTGGAGGTCTGCATTGGTGTTGACATCATCACTCGCTGGTAGTCAAGTTGTCTGGTTGCTGTTCATTGCTGTAGTTGTAGGATAGGCTGTAGAGTAGATAGGGCGCCTAGCGCCAATCACAAGAGAGAGCTACATTTGGGTTATGCTGTTGGTGTTGCCCTGGTGGGCATGGACATTGACTCACGATTCTTCTGTATCATTCTCAATGGGATGGTTACTCGGATTCTTCTGTATCATTCTCAATGGGATGGTTACTCGGTTCCATGTGCTATCTGCTTTGGATTTGAATACTTGGACTTCAGTGTGATTTTGCATTCCGGATTTCTGTGCTTCGTCCATACTCATGTTCCTTGCATAATTATTTATTTTGGCAAAAAACAAATTGATGCGACCCTGAGCTAGGAAGATTGTCACGCGCGGGCGGTCTTGCACGTCCGGGCACCCAGGCGTGCAAAAAGATCATAATAAATTATAATAAATTATAATAATATAATATATTATAATAATATTATAATAAATTATAATACTATTATAATAATATTACAATAATATTATAATCAGGGTAACCGGCTATCGGGAGGAACGCCCGAACGTACGGGACCCCTTGGGGGTGCGTTTGGCCGTTCGGGCCGAACGCAAACCAAAAACAAAAACAAAAAAAACAAAAAACAAAACAAAACAATTCAAAAAAACTATGTTATGAAGAAAAGTAAAATAAACAACATTTGCTTGAGCATTACATCCATATTCCTTACCAAATGAGAAATAAAAATAAAATACAGAAAATAAAACTAATAAGAAAAATAAGAAAAAATGAAAAGAGAACTAAAATTAGTGAGTGAGCGAGCACGTTTTCGATACCACCATCTTTGGTGATTTGTCTTTTGTTTTTGGCACAGCCAAATGCCCTGAAAATTTACAGATGTGTACTTCACATAATACAAAACTCAAAAAGTTTCAAAAAATAATAAAATTGTTTAGGCCCCGCAGTAAAGTGAAAACAAAAAGTAACAAGTGAAAAAAACAAAATAGTGAGTGGGCGAGCACGTTTTGACACCGCCATATTTGGAGATTTTTTATTTTTGTTTGACTTTGAAACGGTATTCACCAGTTCGCAGTAGTTGATGCAGATCCCAGGGCTCGATCCCTAGTCCCCACCTTACCTGTGTACAGTATCTGTGTCGACCCCTAGAGTTGAACCCGTGACCTGTGTATTTGTAACAGCTGGTAGTTTGTCGTAGGGTCCATGGGTAGCAGGGGTTCGATCTGTAGACCTGTCGACGATCTGTAGACCTGTCGAATAGGAGTCCCAGTCAGGTCTAGCAGTCGTAGCTGTAGCTGTCTCGAAGGGTCAAGGTTGTAGCTGCTACAGTCCAGAAAGGTCAAGGTCGTAGCTGCTACAGTAACGAAAGGCCAAGTCTACGGCCTTACGGAAGGTCCCAGTAGTGGCCTTTCGAAGTTGCCCACGTTTAGGCTGAGGCAACTGAACAAGTGGTGAAGTCTACCCGTGCTGAGCCAACAGTCCCAATCCCCAGTCAGTCCTGGTCCAGTCAAGCAAGTGCTGCATGGGACTGTGTGCACTACGGGCATGGGAAAGGGCTAGACCAACGAGCTGGAGAAGTATAAATCAAGAGGCAGCGCCCAGTCATTCATTCATTCCTGCGTGAGCTATGCGGAAGCGCTGCCACAAGCGACTTGTGCGGGGTGGTCTGCAGTGAGCCCGAGGACGAAATGGGCGAGAGAGGAGTGTAGCCATAGCTATAGGGTAGTAGCGGTCATAGCCGCCAT